AAAAGAAAAATAAAAAAAAAATAATCTGCACGAGTTGTTGTCTTCTTAAATGCTGTAAAAGTGAATGATAAAAATAAACTAAAAATGAGAGCAATTTAAGTGAATAAAAGTTAAAATTAAAATATAAATAAAAAAATTTAATAAAATTAAAATACACAAAAGCAAATAAAATTAATTATTATTAAATTCACACATTCATAAATCAATTTGCAAAAATTAGTAATGTTGAAGTTGAAAGTTTTATATATTATTCTATTGCAAAAAAAAAAAAAAACTAATAATATTAGTATTTTTAAACTTGATTGTCTGTAAAAAAAACTGTATAGAATGTGAAGTGTTTTGAGCACAGTATTTAAGTTATATTTTTATGTTTTTTTTTTGCTTAAAATTTTAATTATAATTAAGTAAATATATTTTTAATATGGCACTGTTTATGGTATAAAATAATACTTCTGAAAAGTTAATATTTTCTTTTTGTAAAATTACCTACAACTATTTAACTATTTAACAACTAGCCATGGGCTTGGGGCAGATATATGTACATACGTATATATTTGTTATGGAAATTAATAAATTTTCTGCCTCAACATATTTTGCAAAACACTACAATTACTAAAAAAAAAAAAGTTTATTAATTTGATTTACTCCACATTTTTGGTAGACATCTGGTATAACTTGCACTCTTTTTAAAGCTTTTTTGGAAATATCTTATAAAACTTTTTTTGGGGAAAATAAAATTCAGTCAGTTTCAATCTTTTATATATTATTAATTGTAATTTCGAAAAAATAATTTTTTAATTTTTTAAACTCATTTTTTTTGCATTATTAAAGTGAGCGTCACAAAGAATAAAGGATGTTGTTGGCCGCCGTTCGCTTAAGAACACTTGTAAAAAGGAAAATCTAAAAGATTATTGTTCTTTGAGCTTATTTTTATGGTTGGAATTAATTACTATTTGGTTAGAAAACCAAAAAAAGTGACATTTTTTTAAGTATCAAATGGAAAATCAGCGATAAAAAAACATAACCCAGTTTCTGTGTGAGCAACTGATGAGTACGTAGAATAACATATTGAAAGCAAACGGTTGGATAGCACATTTTTTTATCATCCCGGCTTACTGTATAAACGTTGTTACGAGAAAAACGCGTATAGGTGTTATAACTTAGTCAATATTTCGTATTTCGTTATAAAATTTTTCTTACGAAAAAAATCGTTTATTTTTCAAACCAATTTACCAGACTCTATTACCTTAAATGAATTTTTTTGAATTAAACCAAGTCCTTGTATATTTCATATATGCAAATATATATTTTTTTTTTAATTTTTAACTTTTATATTTTCTCTTATTTTATTTTATTTTCTCTTATTTTATTAATTTTTTTTGTTATTTTTACTTTTTTTTCTACGCCAATTTATTCTTTCATTTTTTCTTCATTTTTGCATTAATTTTTCTTTGCTTTGTTATATTGATTAATTATTTTTTTTAATTTATTGTTTCTTTAATTTTTTCTTAAAAATTCTCTATGAAATATATTTTTTTTGATTTTGTTTTTTAATTTTACTTTAATATTTTCACTATTTTTCTTGAATTTTTTTTTATTTTTTATCTTTTTTAAGCCAATTTATTCTTTTAGTTTTCTCTTCATTTTTGCATTAATTTTTCTTTTAATTTTTATTTTAATTGTGGTTTAGTTTCTTAAAAATTTTCTATAAAATATATTTTCTATAATTTTTACTTTTATTTTTACTTTAATATTTTCATTATTTATCTTAAATTTCTTTCTATATGTTATTTAGTTTTTTATTTAAATTTCCTTTAGTTTATTTTAATTTTTCCTTTAAATTTTGCATTATTTATTTCTATTATTGTTACGTTAATTTTTTTTTAATCTTTCCTCTAATTATTTTTTTTAATTTTTTTTTAATTTTTTTTTTTTGTAATTTACCATTTAATTTTTTCTTTAATTTTATACCTTTTTACATAAACATTTATTTTAATCCCTTAACCTCAAATACACTTTTATGCAATCGTTAAATATTTCTTCTATGCTATTTAATTTTTTATACTTGCTGTTATTTATTTCTTAAATTAAGTATGAAATGAAAATGTCAAAGTTTTAAAATTAAGTGAAAAGAGACCACCATTAAATTTAATAATAAAATGCAGTTTATAATTAATAACAATTAATATTATTAATTAAATATAATTAATTAAAATAATTACAATTAAATGAAAAAAAAAACAAAAACAAATGAAAAAAATGAAAAATAATTAAAAATAAACACAAAACACTTGAAAATGGGTGAAATATATTTATGTATATGATGATGCGCTGTTCCCGCTCCATAAAACTGACGTTTTTTTATAATTAATTATTTAACAAATTTCAAGTATTTGCTTAATTTTGTTTTGTTGTTTTTCTTAAGATTTAAGTATAGCAAGGAGTTCTTATTAATTATTAAAATATTATTTTATAATTTTTAATTAATTTTGAATAATTAATGTAAGCAAGCCGCAGGAAAAAGTAGCAAAAAATTAATATAATAAATAAAAATAAAAAATTAAAAAATAAAATAAAAATAAAAAGAAAAAGTAAAGGAAAAAGAAAAGCTAGCACACAAATGTGAGAATACAAAATATTTATATTAATAAAATCCAACAACACTGTAAAATACCTAAATATTATGTGTACAACATTCAATGAATATAAAATTGAAAGAGAAAACGAAAATTTAAAATAAATAAACAAAGGAACATTAAGCATAAGTAAACAATTTTTGGTTGCTTAAATCTATGTATGTATTATGATTTAAAAGTAGTAACAATAATTAAAGAAAATAAAACAAATAGAAGAAAACGCGCAAAAATTGCCGCCTGCGCGTCGGATACTAAATAATTATATTGAAAGGTATGCATGTCGAGTATGTAAGCAAACGCAAAAAAAACAAAAACAAAAACAAACAAAAAATAAATTAAAGGCAAAAGAACAAGAGACAGTAAAACACAAAACAAAACAAACATTTAAAAATTAAGCGTAAATTAAAAATTAATTATATAGTTATATTACACACTACTATTACCACAATAACAACAATACAATATAATTACTTATAAATACATACATATAATATAATTACAATATAAATATAAAGTAAAGTAAAATTGAACACACAAACACAGAAAATCAAGAGAATTGTTTTATTTCAGTTAAGAGAAAAGTAATTTGGTTTTTCAATTCTCACATAGTGGTAAAAACGTTTATACATATGTATTTATAATGGACAAACAACCCCTGGTTATTTTTTCTACAGCCTCAAGTTAAAGAAATCGTAGTCACAGCCAGCAGATAACCACCCTGACCCCCCCTTTGGCACCGAACGGTTCGGAGAGGTCCTTGCCAATTCTGACTGCGCTTCTGGTATTGTCCATAATCAGTTTATACAGATGTTTAAATTTTGTTTATCAGTTCTTCGTCGACGTATTTGAATACCTCGGCTAGCTATCCATCGGACTAAGCGACTTTGTTGTTCTGCAGGCAGGCAATCCCACATACGAACTTCTTCGTAGTCGGGATATGGTACATCTGTTGTTGTTGTTGTAGTGGTTTTACCAACCCCGCTTGGGAACAGATTAGTTAATCCATTTCACCGAGGTAATTTAATGGGTAATCCAGGAGATGGGTAATCGACGAGTTCGTACCAAAGGGAGAGGGAGGTTAGATGTGTTGATTTTGGAGAGCATATAAAGAGGTAGTTAGTGTCGTGCAGGGATTCGTTACATGCTAGACACATGTTAGGTATGCCGATGTCGACTCTGGATAGGGCTACAATATTCTTAACTCGTAGTTTGAATGCTTCGCTGTACATACAAGTGATTGCGCAGGCGACATGAGAAGTTTTTCTGTCACGGTCCTGAGGGCGCAGTTTTGACTGGCCTATAAGTTCTTCAACTGCGCCTCGTTTGTCCCGGGTGCTCAGATCGGTGCAGCGTAGTTTACGACCGGCCGGTCTCGTCATCTCCAGGTGTTGAAGAAGTGTTCACTCTATAGTATAGTATACTATGGGCATCTGTCTGGACGAGATCACCCTTTTAAATCCTACAAATGTATGCTCTGGTCTTGAGACTGCTGTTGTTGTTGTTGTAGCGGTTCGCTAACCCCACTTAGGCACAGGCTTAATTAGTCTAAGTCGCCGAGGTCATCTATTGGTAGGCCCAGGAAACAAGCTGTTTCGACGGAGTTGGACCAAAGGGAGAGGGGGGTTAGATGAGTAGGTTTGAGGGGGCATGTGAAGACGTGGTTAGTGTCGTGCGGGGACTCTCCACATGCCGGGCATACGTTAGGTATGCTGGGGTCTAGTCTGGGTAGGTAGGAGTTTAGCCTGCTACAATATCCAGACCTGAGTTGTGTCAGGGTCACGCGGGTCTCTCGAGGCAGCTCGAGCAACTCTCACGACAGCCGGTTCTACGCACCGGAGTTGACCCGGATTTTATCCGGCCAAGGGCTGTCACCCTTTCGGCGACCTAACCCCGTTTAGGTCTACAGGTCTTGTGACCTGTAAGTCTCCGCTTCTTCATTCTAAATATTATATTATATATATATATATATATATAATTGGCGCTTTGTAACCGCCGAAGCGATTTTCCGACGAGCTCTTCCACCAATTTGTGGTTTTGCGTCTTGATGTTTTTCCAAAAAATGCAGGGAACTACAGTTTATACTTAGCTGCCTCCGAACGGCTGATGGTTTTTTTTTTATGAGCAGCTTTATTTCATGTCTGAAATACACTCGGAGGGGTTGACATTCCCAATAAATTAATCTTCTGTGATCTAGAATGCAAATACACCTCTCTTACACTGAACAAGATTTATATACTGGCTAAAGGATACTAGGTGTATTTGCATTTTTTGGCAACCAATTTAGAGGATTTTTGAGAGATTTGACTGGTCAGTGCCTAAAACTTGCCATATCACACATTTTCCCCAAACTAAAATTTTAACAGTATTTAAATAATCTTTTATTTATGATTTCATGAATGTTTCGCTTTAAACTTAACAATAGACAAATAATTTAAAAAACTTGGACAAGAATAATAATAAGAATTTATAGGTAATTAGATCATATGTTAATACAATAAAGCAACAACGCTCTTAACCGTTAAAATAACGTTTACTTTTTGCTCACACGCTGATTTCCAAAGTAACTAAGCAAAGCATGTATTTGTGATAATCGCAAATTTGATATTTTTCTGCTGCTTTTGTACAACCTAAATTAACTACCTCAATTGTCACTAACTGCAATTAAGTTTTCTTCTCTTGTTCATCCAAGAATTGTTGCAACAATGCCGCATCAATTGGTATACTCAGCAATTCGGAGCCATCAATATTACGTTTCGATTTCACTAATTTATGATCAAGAAATTCGGTGAGTTGTGCACGCAAAGCCAAATCGGAGCTGACAAGGAAAGCTTCTCGGCAACTCCAGTATAAGTCCTTGAAGGACATACCTATTTAAGTGATAATAACGAGAGAATATGCTATGAAAATTATTTTCAAGCTCTGATTTGTAGATAAACTCACCTTGAAAATTGGGATTGCCCTTATTCTTCAGTTGATTCTTTACAATAATCATGTAAATGCCACGAGTATTTGTTGTTAGCGAGGAGAAAACGCTGCGCATGGAAGAGAGCGCCAATTCGCCTGAATTTTGTACAAGTAGTGAATTTTCATATGCGGTTTCATCGCTGTATGCCAGCATAGTAGTGCAATCCCACCAAGAAAAATTGAAATTACTTAACCTCGTGTGATCCCATACTGTTAAGAAATAATATAAATAATTAAAAATAAATGGAAAACATGGTGATCACGTATTAACGCAAACGCAGCTGTTGATTTGTGCAAAATTACTGCTGCGGTGAAGTTAAGCATTAAAAAATATATATAACTAACATTAAAAATCTATATATCACAATAAGTAATATTAAAAAAAATAATAATCAATAATATTAAGAGGATATAAATAATAATATTATATAATAATAAAAAATGTTAAATATATAATAATAAATAATATTAAAAAATATATATTTATTATAAATAACATTAAAAAATATATAAAAATAATTAAAATTAAAAAAATAGATTAACAATAAATAATATTAAAATATATCTATAATAATATTAAATATATATATATATATTAGTAAATAATATTAAAAAAATACCAATAATAATAATATTAAAAACATATATATCATAACAAATAATATTACGAAATATACATATATATTAATAAAAAAATTTAAAAATATATATTATATAATTAAAAAAAATTAAATGAATAAAAAATTTGTTGAATAAAGTTAATTAAAATACAAAATAAATACAAAAAAATCAGAAATTTTGTTGCTTATACATATCTATGTATATACGGTATTTTTCTCCTTCTAACTTCTCCACTCATACTTACACAGTGGCGTGTTGATGTAATCTATAGATGCTAATAAATGCAACTGTTTTAGTTTAGCTAAACGTGCCAAAATGCCTTGCGCTTTGGTATTCCTCAACATACTGCCATCCAAATTATGCACTATCAAATAGATATGCGTACTTGGTGTATACGATAATTCCTCTTCAATCAAGTCAACCGCTTCGTGTGGATTCGAGGGAGCGATCGTGGCATTACAATCTAATAATTCACCAACAATACTATCTAAAATATCCTTTAGTGTTAAACTGGGAAAGAAACCATTCACAACCAATACCGGCTGGTCAGCGAGTACTTCGCGATGAAAAGCTTGCAGTAGCTGACGTTTGGAGCCCAAACCATATAGTAATAAACTATAGCCTTCATGCAATATACATAACCATTTTGGGAAATATGAACGATATTCTTCCATCATGGCGTTGATTGCATCTTCATGTTCGGCGGTTGGTTTCATTTCATTAAGTAAACTGAACAAGCGATCAGCTGGCAGCCGTGGATTTTTCAATCGATCAAGTGTGTGATCGGAAGTGAGTATTTTGGTGCTAGCATGCGCTTGAAAATAGCCATCACTTTCAGGTACATAGTCGGCAGAGGACTTTTTAGCACGCGCCGTTTGTCGTGAACGTGCAGCGGAAGGGGTTTTTGGTAACACTGGTACTATTATGGGACGTCGAGCTTTTTGCGGTGTATTCGATTCATCATCGGCAGCATCGTCTTCATCACCACTAGACGAACTGTCGCTTTCACTATCTGTTGGCATATAATCACTGCCAGTCGCAGAGAAGTCTGAATCAGATTCTAATAGTTTAGAGATTTCTGAAAGATAAATATTATTAAATATTAAAACAAATGTATTTGTTACAAATTTTTACCATTCTTAACGCGATTGCGCACATGTGATGGGGTTTTGGGTTCTGCTATGGATTTTCGCCTTCTAGAGTCCGGCGTTTTTGTGTGGTTTTGTGATGTTGAAGCACGCGGTGTCTTAACAGATTTTGGTGTTTTTGGCGTTTTTGGTGTATTTAAAGCAGCCAATGCCATGCCATTTCGCTTTTTCGGTGTATGAAAACCATATAAACTCTTTCCGGCTACATCTTCAGCCTCTTGTAAAATTTGTATATCTGCAATTTCTGGTCGCGCTGCAGCATTTGGTATATAATCTTCATCACTCTGTTCACTTGCATCGTCCTCCTCCGTTTCATCATTGTGGGCAGTTCTTTTAATACGCTTTTTTGTGCCCTCCACTATGTAATCTTTAGCATATTTCTTTTGTGGACTGCGTTTGCGTGCAGATCTTCGAACTTGTCGTCCCCTAGCCGATTTATTTTCATCATCCGAATCAGGAACTGACACCAAAACAACATCGTCTACGCTACTCACACTGGAACTTGATCTTGTACGTCTTACTTTAGCAGCATTCTGTTTGGTGGGCGTAATACTCATTTTAAAAAAACCTTCTAATTAAACTATAACTTTTTACTTGAATACTATTTCAAAGGTGTTATTAAAACATGAATTTAAAAACAATTTGAAATAGCGAGCAGATGTTTTGTTATACACTGTAAGCATTTTACGCGGGCATTTATGATTTTTGTTGATATCAGTTTGACACATCAAGCACAGCTGGCATGGCGATGCTTCTTTTTAATGATGTAATTCACAATGGACTAATTTTCAAACGCAAACGATTTTTATGGCAGCAAAGATCGTTTAGTAATAAGGAAAAAGAACATAACTAACAAAAACCTCTGACATTAGGTTAAGTTTTTCTCCAAGTGCTGTGAAACAGTTTCTTCCTGATTTTTACTGAATGGGTTAGAGATCTTTTTGGTGCTAATATTTTCTATAATTAATTTGTGTAAAATAATTTGTGACTCCTTCAATATACATGAAAAGGTATATTAACTTTGGTCCAAAGTAATTATATATGTATGCAGGTACTAGATAGGGAAGAGATGACCCTATAAAATTCATACCAAGATGATTCGAACGTCGAGCTAAGTTAATTTAGCCATATCCGTCAGTTTGTACAGAAACTAACCTCAGTTACATATAAACGATATTGTCGCATTCAACCACCATAACATATATACGACCGATTTTTCCATTTTCCGATTTGAGTTTTAGCCCATAAGTACGCCAAAAAAACGCTACACGTAAATAATTTTCCTGGAATGCACGTCTCAAACGCATTCGTTGTAGTAGATAATGTTTCGCAGCAATGATTTCGCCTGGTTTTAGTAGCTCATAGTGCACCACACCCTCCTAAACGCACCAGGGCGTTCTTTGTCCTCTTCGTATTTTCCGCGTTACAAAACCTCTTTTTTCAGCCAACGGATGTGCAATGATCCAGTCTCGCTCTGGAGGAACCGCCTTCATAATAACGGTTTACCTCTACGTCAGCTAAGTTTGCTTTCTTATAATCGGGTAAAACGATTTGAGTAGAAAGGAGGATGAAGAGTTTGAGAAGTGCAGCAAAAAGAATAAGTGCACATTCGGTGGTGAACGAAAAGGACATCCATAAAACAGACATTAATGCATATCATTGCGCCTACGTCCTGAGGGAAGAGAAGGACGAAGTGACCAGAGATGGTACTTATGAACGCCTGGAGTGGAGTGAAAACAGACTACCTGCCTCGCAAAGTTACAGTTGATCACAACACGTGCGGGGTGAAAATAAATACCGAGAGCTGAAGGGGGAAACAAGCCGCATGTGCAGGCAAAATAAGAAAAATACGGCGGTGCGTGAATATGAAGAGAAGAAGAGCTTGAGAAGCTGACTAACAAAGTTAATGTTTGAAAGTTTTATGAAAAGATCCGACGGCTTACAGAAGGTTTCAAGACTGGAGCAGACTCTTGTAGTACACAAAAAGGTGATCTATTAACTGATGTCCAGAGTATAATGCATTTATGGAGGGAATATTTCTCCAGCCTGCTGAATGGCAGTAAAAGTGCAACACCTGGAACCCGATTCACCAACCGATGGCCGATCCCAACATCTGCGGCGCCAATTACAGTGGGTAAACCCTCTTTAATATCGTATATAAGGCGAAAGACTAAAGCCCACCGGCAACAAACTGATATTCACCATGCGCCAAGTCTTGGAAAAGCCTCTTGCAAAGAGGATCGACACACAAAGAGTATGTCGATTCCAAAGCAAACTTCGACAGTACGAAAAGGAGCTGCCTCTACGCCGCTATATCTGAATTTGGTATCACAGCACAACTTTTACGGCTGTGTAAGCCGACTTCAAGCGACTCCGAATGCTCTGTCAGGATTTAGATAAATTTTCCATAGTTTTCTAAGTTGGTCGTGCCAAAGGAAACCAAACCTACGACTTTAGGCATGGCAGTACGCACAGCAAACCGATCGACTAGCGCGACAATCATCGTTATATTATATATTTAATTTAAAAATAAAAATGGAATTATAACTGCCTGGTTGTGAAACAATATACATAAAGTAGTCAAAGGTCATGCTGATTTGTACAGGAGAGAAAGAGAGAGCAATTTGCAAGTGCATTTCTTCGTACTTGAGCTTAATTTAAGAATTTTAGATTTAGGCCTTACCGTATGTTAATCTGAACTTAGCGTCGACTTTAGCAACAAAAGTAGAAAAAAAAATCGAAAATAAAAACAACAAATTGTACTTATCAAACGGGAACAATTATGGTCAGTCGCACATTGAACCAATCTCTAATATCCCAAATACCTGTTGTTCTCTACTATTTTCGTTGGATATCCAAAGAGTACACCAACGTGAACCGTTACACGCTACAGTTTCAGTGTAGTTCGACCAAACTTTCCCTACATTAATTTTAGTGTTTTTAGTAAGCAAATAAAGAATTGATTTTTTGATTTTACTTACACTTATTTTCTATTCGGTATATTTGTAGACGTGAATGTATTGAAAAATGTTACCAGCGAGGTTATATAAATATATTGAAAATTCAAACGGTACAACTGGCGCTAAGAGGCTGGCACTAAATGAAAAATGTTTAACCAAAATTTGTGGTTACCTGAATATACCGGATCACGTTAACTTCGGCCTTGCGTGTGAAAGTTTTCGGCGCGCCTATATCAAGTCCTGCATGACCAAATTCGAAATATGCGCCCTTAATCATATATCCAAATTGACCATAAAGGAGTTGGTTTTCTTTTTCGAAGCGGCAGGACCGTATATTAAGCACATCGAGCGCCATGCGCCATTGTCGAAGTTGGATATTGTAATCGATTTGATCGTAACCTACTGTAAGCAGTTGAGGTCATTGACTTTGCGTAATTGTAATCTGTATGATGAAATGGTCAGAAAACTGCCACGTTTGAAGAGAATTGACACGCTGATACTGTGCGGCAATCAGCGCATAACAGGTAGGCAATACAAGCATATTTTAAGCTAAGCGTACGCATTGGAATACACCCTCATGGGAAGTCCGCTGTGCACAAAAGATAGGTGCTGTTAGGCACAAGCTTAAATAGAATTCCTAAGTGATTGATTGGACTTGAACTTAAAATCTTTTACTATTCTGCTGCTTCTTCTTCTCACTTAGGCAGATATTTGTACGGTTTAACATATCTGAAAGAACTCAATTTATGTGGCTGCAGTAATATTACAACATCACAGATAGTGGAGGCTTTTAAAACATGTACCGTTTTGAAAACACTTGACATACGCGAATGCACAGAATTGCATGCCGAAGCCTTCATCGCTATGGCCAAATATTGTGAGCAGCTTGAAGTGTTGAAGATGTCATGTCCCCCAATGCGGTTTGACTGTATAGGATTTTTGCCATTGAAAGAGCTCGTTTTGCTGGATCGTAATCGTAGACCCTCAACTACGCACCTGTTGGAACAATTGCCGTATAGTGGTAAACAATTGGAAGTTTTGGAAATTCATTCGGAAAATTCTTTAAACCACAAACACATCAGTATGATAAAAGAGATCGCAAGTTTAAAAATGCTTGCCGTCCCAAATAACGAGGCGGTCAACGATGATGCGTTGGATAAATTTTGTCAGCTGACCCAACTGGAAAAGATCAATATCAGAGGTTGTTGTCATGTAACGAACAATGGAATTCTGAAATTATTACGCTTTTGTACACAATTGCACTGCATCAACATACAATTTTGCCGGCTCATAACACATAGACTTGTCTCTGATGTCATTTCATTTCTAAATGAAGAAATTGAAAATAAAAATTTAGAGCGCAAAAAGCCATTGGTGCTTTTGGTGAACTCCACACTTATGGATGCAAATGATTTGTCTATGGTAAGCGATATTTTGCAACTAACGGTATAAACTGCTAATAAATTGAATAATTCTTCTTCTTTCAGTGCGTGGGATATGAAACGGCTGTGAGAGAATCACTCATCAAAGTGATATTCGATATTTCCACTTTTGATTTGGTTGACGGTGTTGCTGCCTACCATTATATGGGACGCTTGCATCACTCATCGGACGAAGGTGACGACTACGAGGACGAAAATGCTAATCCGATGTAGCACGATTGATTTGGCTTTCCTAAGGCGAAAACTTTCGGCAATTGGTTTTATTAAATTTGTGTTGGTTTATAATTGATTTCTTACGGTTTTGCTATATGTACAGATGTATAACGTAGCGTAACATAACATAACATAACATAACAATAGAAACAATATAGTATTATTAAACGCCATCACCGTTAGTCAGTCTTGTTAATTCTTTTAAATTAATTCTATGTTTTCGTCATTTAATGTTAATAAAGCGCTTAAAATTTTGAATCTGGATATTGGCAGGTCGTTCTAATATAAAGAACAATAGAGCAAATGTAATTTAAGCTCCGTTCGGAGAGAAATGTCAGGAAGAATCAATCAATGAGGAAATCTCAGTGCAAGTTTTACTGGTTTTTTGGCTGTTCAATGAAACTCAGTAACAATCGTTACTGCCAAGCAGCAAACTCAACTCCTAATTTATTCCGAAAAATATTTACTTTGAACAATATAACGGTTTAAGCCGAACAGTAATTATGTTAACACCTGACCCGTTCAATCTTTAAAACTATAGTAAAAACCGTCTCTAATTATGGTCGCCCCTTGGCACAGAAAATTAGCCCTTGACTGTTATTATAAAAGAAATGAAAAAAAAAAAAAACAAACTCCATAACATTTCCGTTAATCATACGGAGTTCTTGAAAACATATTAATTTAATGCGAAATATAAGAAAAAAATTACGTTGGATTCTATGACATCCTACTTCTGGGATTCTATAATTTTTAAATTAATATTCCTAATTGTGTTCGCCCCTCCTCGATATAAGGAAACTGTAAGGCGGCATTTCAAGTTCCCTACGTATAGCTGTAAACGAAACTCTTGGTTTTCGAAAGGGTTACCATATAAGTCGGTACGATGTGCATTGCCGTCCGTCAATGGGGAGAAAATTGGCTGCCCAGATATCGAGAATTGAGGAGAGATGCAAGACGCTTATTTGGATAAATAAAGAGTAAAGAGTGTGAGAAGGCCGCCGAGAGGTGTTATGCTCGGTAAGGGCGTCTGATGCTTAGAGTATAGTGAATATATGTAAGAACACATCACCAGCCTACTAATAGGCTGTGAAAATGTAACACCACAAACCCGATTCCCCAATCGATGATGATGGAACAAATTTTTCAATGGCCGACTCAGAAGAAATTCGAATAGCTATTGCCCGCTTGAAGAACAACAAACAACGGTGATCGAAGCATTGACGACTGAGCTTTTCAAATACCAAGTCGAAGAACTGTCGAGATGTATACATCGGCTTCTTTGCAGAATATGGATGGATAAAAAGAAGCCCGACGAGTGGAACTTAAGTGGTGTTCTGCCCAATCTATTAAGGAGGTATCCTACAATCTGCGTCAATTACGGTGGAATAACCCTCCCCAATATCGCATAAAAGGTCCTAATGAGCGTATTGTGTGAAATATTAAAGCCTGTTGTAAACAAATAGTTTGAACCTTATCAGTGAGGCTTTAGACCTGGTAATTCCATTAGTAATCAGATATTGACTATATATAGGTAAATACCCACGAGCAGAGGATCGACACACATTTGGTATCACCGCAAAACTCGACGTTAAGCAACATAAAAAGATCCATCAGGATCATGAAGAAAATCTCTAAGCTGTTCAAGACCAAAAGAGGTTTCAGACAGGGTGATTCCTTATCGAGTGACTCCTTTAATTTGTTGCTAGAGAAAAAATAAAAGCTTCAGAGCTAAATACAGAGTCATAATGCCAACAGGTACAACTTTGGACTGAGTAGGCAATTGAAACGTAAAGCTATCTCGCGACAAGCAGAGATCAAACTCTACAAGTCGCTTCCTATTCCTGTTCTGCTATAGCGTGCCGAGGCATAGAGGCGGAACGGGTTTATGTAAGATGTATGGTCCTTTGCGAGTTGGTAACGGCTAAGCCCAGCCGATGGAATGATGAGCTGTGCAGAATATACGGCGACGTTGACATAATTCAACGAATTAACAGACAGCGGCTCCGCTGGCTAGGTCATATGGTCCGAACAGGAGACGACTAATGAAGCAGGTCACTCTCGAATTGTTCTTTCCAAAAGTGTAGAGGTGTCCATCTTCCACTGCTGCCACTTTTATAAGCGTAGTATCCGGATCTTTATTAGCTCCTGCGAGTTAGGGTTTCAAGAATTTATTTGCCGTAAGGCACACCTGCCTTAAGCGGCGACTAAAATCAAATAGTTACGTCGATAGTCGTGTCTTGTAGCCGACTGGACTGTCAGTCCCCAAGTATTCTCCAAAAACAACTTGGGGAAATATTTTTGCAGGGAATGTCTTGTTCAGCTTATCATTCAATTCGCCATCCGTAAGGAGTAAAAAAAAAATCAATCACAAAACCTTTCACACACAATTTTTAATGTCATATAATACTATGCGGCGGTCGCAATGGACAAGTGTTGGAATTAGGTACTAGCATTCGGAGACGGCTTAGAATAAACTGTAGATCCTACCACAAATTGGAGGAGGAGTTCGACGTAAAATAGCTTTAGCGGTTACAAAGCGTCAAATTTAAACATTAAGACCAGAAAATGTCCGGAAATTGTAATTTAAACTGTCCGCGCTGAATATTTCTCAGCACTTCCTTTTTGCTAAGTTGGTACTATGCCAAAAATGGGCTCGATCGGTCAACCAGTTTGTTTGCAGCAGCTGTTGAAATCAGTTGAGCTCAGTTCCTTCTGTGAATTTTCTTTTACGGCCTCAATAGAGTCGAAATGGGTGTCACGGAGTGGTAATTTCAGTTTTGGAACAGACTAACAGTCGCATGGGGTCAAATTCGTTAAAAACGGTGGTTGATCGAGTTTTTTGGTCTTAAAATCGTTCACAACTACTTCTCTGTGCGATGACGGATTATCGTCATGAAAGTTTCCGGATATTCTTTTCCCACGATTCCCGTCCGCTCTTTATTGACCATCTGTCCCGTTGGAACGAATTCATGATGAACCGAAACTCGAGTGTCAAAAAGAAAGGAAAATAATTTCCGGAAACTTTCTGACTTTAATCCGATGTTGTCACCGTCCATTCTTCTGCTACATTTATTGGGAAGCGGACGATGGTCGCCCTCGTGGAGCCTCAAACCGAAATTGGTGCGTATAAGGCCTAAGCTACATTTTTTCTTCTGTAACTCAAGGCTGTGCACAAATTATTTACGCAGAATCTGGGTAGAAGAATAGTTGATGTACATACATATGTAAGGCTGAGAGTTGGGGATAGCCTTGCGACTATTTACTAGAGCTCTAGTTACCCGAATATCGAGCAATACGATCATCTCGATACTCGCTCGTTGCTCCACTGTTTAAGTGTTAGTTTGCAATTCAATTCTCAATTTCGTTAGTCCAAATCTGTTTAGTATTTAAGGGGGAAGCTGGTCTAGAATTTTAAAAAAATGGAATAAAAAATTTTTGTCTCAAAAGGTGCTTTAGGGTCTTAGAAATTACATACCAAAAGATGGATGCCGGGAAAAATGTCTAAATGCCTAAAAGCAGTTATGCTCCGAGCGACCTACACCTTTAAACGCGTTTTTCTCGAAATCACTTTTTTTAAACTGGCCGAAGACATAGCCCAAATAAATCTTCACCGATTCTTACGAAATTTTGACAGTACATTCGAAATACCGTTTTCCGAAGACATAGAATAGGATTTTTTTATATTACATAGTTTTTTTAATCTTTATACCGTTTTTTACAGAGAAAATTGTAACTTTTTGTGCAAACGCTCACCATTTCGCGAAAAAAACAAATATCGAAAAAAATCCAAGTACGTCTCCTATCTTTGTTATATAGAAACTAAAAAAAATTTATTTTTTGATCCAGGACAAAAATTATGGAGTTTACATTTTCGGCCATGGATCCATTAGAAATGCAGGACAGCGGCCATTTCGAAATTAATTCACTCGAAAAATTTTGTATTTGTACCATGAAACCTATATTATTAAACCTGTTTCACAGATTTTGGATTGCTTCCTTTGTTGAGTCACAATAAATTCATAAAATTTGCCCAATTTTTGCGCTCTAGACCAGCTTTTGTACAAATAAATTAAAAATTATAGAAAAAAATTCTAATAAGTAAGTCATCCCAAGCTACAACAGGTAAAGGGTATAGTCAGATTCATTCCCATCCCGGTAAGAGAGCAAATCAAGTGAATTAAAAAAGTGATACTGAAAGGCATGAAATGCGAATATTCGAGTAATCGAATGTCAAGAGCTCTATCATATAAATATGTACTTAGATACTATTGTAGTATTTATGTATGCCAAAACCCATTTAGGTCACCTAGAGCTCTAATCTGTGGGCAAGAAATTGAATTTCACTATTGAACACACCTCATTAATATTTCGATTTTCTCAAATAAATAAGAAATCAACGACCAATCGTTTGGTGAAATGCAAAATAGCAATAAGACAGATAATAATACTCTTATTTACATATACTCGTACATACATATACACAATTATTTATTGAAACAGAGTTAAGCGATTTAATGCGATTAGGCACTGTATATATATATACATATGATACCATTGGCATATATATATGCATGAATTTGTATTCTCGGGTAGAAAGCCATCAACAATGTAACTGCAATGAAAAGGCCAACAATTATGTAACAACTCTAGTTGCAAACTAGTTGACAAATGACACGCTACAATGACGATCGACAACAATGTGCCCTGTGAGGGGCAGATACTGACAGTTGAGGGAGACGAGTGAAACGCATTTGCAAACAGGCAAAGAAAGACGCTAAATTTCATGATTATGCAGAGCTTGAGAAGCTGGTTGACAGGCGTAATGCTAGAAAATTCTATGAAAAAATACGTGTGACTTCCAGAAGGACCACAAGAGGAGATCTAGCGGCTGATACCAAGAGCGGTTAGGGATTAGGTAAGGGCTCAGGTAAGGCATACCTGTCGTAAGATGCTACTAAAATCCAATAGTTCCCGCGACAGTCGGGAAAACTGCTTTAAGGAATATTTTTGCAGTTACAACAAGAACAACATTCAATCAGTATCAATTAGAGGAAGTTAAGCCTCCTCAATATCGCATATAATAATTTTTCGTGCATATTATTTGAACGACTAAAAACCATCGACAACGACCTATGGTACCTGGTAGGTCCACCATAGACCAGATATGCAACGTGAGCCTTGAAAAACACCCGTGTAAAGGAGTTCGACACACATTTTCGTGAAAATGGTACTCTACGTAGTGGTAACTGCGAATATTGCAGTCGATGGATAGGTGCGCTATACGAGGCTGCGTAGCGGCTGGGCTCGGTCATGTTGTTTGAAAGGAATGTCAACTCTTTAGCGTTGAAAGTATTCGATGTACCTTCTGGGAGAAGCCGAGGAAGAGGTATACCTTTGCTCCCTTGGAAAAACAGGATGGATAGGGACTGAAGTGATATTATTGGGCGGCCGAGGTAGCCAAGGGTAAACATTGCATACTGCTATTCAGAAGGCTCGGTTTCAAATCCTGGTATCGCACTGACATCCAAAAAGTAAGAAAATTAATTTTAATAAAAAATCAAGCTAAATTTTCTAATTGTGGTTGCCTCTCGGCAGTGAATGTCAACCCCTCCGAGTGTATTTCGGACATGAAATAAATCTTCTCATAAAAAACCATCAGCCGTTCGGAGGCGACTTAGTAGAAAGCATTTGTTGGAAAAACATCAAAACGAAAAATCACAAATTTCAGGAGGAGCTCGGCCGAAAATCGACTCAGCGGTTACAAAGCGCCAATTATATATATTTATAATGCCTTCTCCTTCTCTTCCTACCAACGACGTTTATGTCCTCCACTTGCTCTGCTTCCACCAGCAAGTACTGGATCGAATGCTTTTTGAGCTGGAGTATTATCGTCTATCCGTATGCAGAACTATTTCAATGCCGTGGTATACCTGGCGATGTCAGTCGTATTCGCCGTAGTCAACACCGAGAGGGCTATAAACCAACGGCAAAACCTTTTTCTCGAAAATTTCCAAAGCCGACACATCAGATGTTGTCAACGTTTACGCTTCTGCATCACACAGTAGGTTGGGGATAGTGACTCTCGACTTGACGAAGTCGTATAAAACTTTTACATTTGGAATGTGGTTTTGGCATCGGCCACTGAGGTTAGAATGTAAGTTTCCACTGTCTTTTAATGCACAATGTTATACCACATGCTGTCAAGGTTGTATGTATGTATTTAAAGATGATTGCATAAAAGTTCCACGACTCCTACCTAAGCGATGAACACCAGCTAAGCACAATTTATTATCTACCCAAAAATGTAGCAGCCTTTTGTGAATACTACCGGTGCTTTTAGCCTACCACTGGCAGCAACTACACATACGTGTGTATGTATGTATGTACTCGTATGTAATAAGTAAATAGGAGCCTTAACAGCTGGTTGCCAAGAACGACAAAGGATTGAGAAGACACCATGACAATTGTTGCTCGCGGTGTCACTGTAAGCGTAGAACACTTACGCCATGTTGCTCCAAGTCTAGTACTATTCTCAACGCAGGCCAAATATTCGTATGTACGCAATGGTGCTCATTGTGGTATAAGGAGCTCAGTGGTAATCTGCTCACGCGCGCAACCGCACAGCAGTTTGTATACGCGAGACGCAGCGTGTAATTTGTTGAGTTTTTATCTATTTGAAAATAATTCCAATCGCATATATTGTATATGCTCATGTACATATATGTATAAAGGGTGTTACTTTAGACATGTGGATTTCAAGAATATAATTTAATGTTATGGATCCTTGGTCAGCTTACTTGGCTTAGCTTTGGCTTAGCTTTACTGTAAAGACGTGGAGTTTTGAATTTTGGAGAGCTTGATATTCCCTGTCAAGCGGCGACTGCAATTAAAAAAATAATTTTTCTACACAATAACTCGTGTAAAAGCTGTCAATAAGACCAACATGTCTCAAAAAAAAAGACCCTCTACTGCGTTTTATATAAATGCAAATAAGTCATGCGTGTGTCTGGTTGTAAGCACATATTTCCCGGCAAGTTTTATTGACGCCTAGCAAAACACCAGAAACCGGCAACAACTGGCGTTGGTTGTACGAAGTGCGCGAAGGCGATGTCCGCCCAGTCGCCAAGAGCCGAGTTAACTCAACTATGCCAAGTCAAGTCGTATGAGAGCTCGTGCATTTCATGGTGTGCTCGTCCGTCCATCACTCTGGCTGTGTGCTTATAAGTGGCCGGTGCGTTGATGAGAACACTTCAGATAGACAGTACCTGTGCGCGGTGCTGGTTGTGGCTTAATGCGTGCTATTGTGTAGAAAACTTTGAAAAGACGGTGTGCGCACGCGACTCAAAATACTGGAAGAAAGAAATAGTATTTTTTTTCTTTCCTGTGCATATACAACCCTGAATGTTTACCAAGTGGTGCATTTGATTTTTGAAACATTTATTTTTTTTCATCATCTTCGTTTTGCTGCCGTTTTGCTCCATTAAAGTAAGTTTAAACGTGAAATATAAACCGGAAAATGTGTGAATTTTTAATCACACAGTATTAGACATTCAATAACAATTAAAAAAAAAATCTTAACGACATGATATACATACAGACAGACGTTAATTGGAATGTGAAAGTAAACGCTTAAAAGTGCAGTGAACGCAATAAATTAAATAATTCAATTAATAAAAAATTAATAAAATATTTGAACTGCAATAAATGTGAGGAAGTCTAAAAATCAAAAAAAAAAAAAATCGAAAATATAAATTCATTTGTGCATATGTAAATACCACGTCTGTATATATTTGGGTGAAAAACAAATTTCGCAGCCAGGAAATCACATTTTAGCGGAATAAAATTAAATTAAATCAATTGCATTGAACTACTGCTCCAACCTGGTTTTGGAAAAAAATGAGGTTCAATGACTCCACCGGACCATAAACCGCAGCGAACAGTTCGGATAAAGAGGCTTTTCAATGATAATTCTTGGGTTTCCCGAGCTCCAGATGCGACAGTTTTGCTTATCGACGTAGCCAATGTGATGGAAATGCGCCTCTTCTATCAGGAGGATTTGACAATGAAGTTTTGTGTCGAATTTTTTTAATTTCAATGCGTTGTTGTAGCGTCTATCGTTCCATTTCTTATTACTACCGTTGTTTTTACTCGCCAAATGTCAAAAAATTACAGCTTCAAAAGTGACATTCAGCTGATTTGCAGACTCTTCAAATAATACCTCTTATTGGAAACCCTGTGTGAATGCATTTAAAAATGTGCCGACATTTCCGCCGAATGTCTTTCCATTTATAGAAATCTACCCCGCAAGTTCGAAATTCCGTAGCTAACCTTACTAAAGGAAAACTTTAAAAATTGAAGACTCCACTAAAATTGACTCAGACTCATAAACTGTCTGAAATTTGTGCAATTAATTGAATCTAAGTCATAATTAGTAGATATATTTATAAATATACATACATATATAGCGTTTTATGGCCGATAAATCGATTTTCGGCCGAACTTCTTCTCCAATTTGTTGTGTGCGTCTTCCTGTTTAAGGAAATTTCAATTTATCCTAAGCCGCCTCCGAACGGCTGATTGATTTTTGTGTCGCGCTTTTACTTCATAACGGAGATACACTTGGAGAACTTGACAATCCCAACTCGGAGTGCGACGAAATTCCAAAAAAAAAAATATTTTTAAAATTAAGTTTTTATAATTTTGGATGTTGTTCTGTCCAAGATTCGAATCCGTAGCCTTTCAAATGGTAGTATGTAGTGCTAATCAACCAATCAGCTAATGCGGACGATAGTTTATTTTAGGTTACGTTCAACTGGTTATCCAGCGAGTGTCGTCTAGACGATACTACCTCCGTAGTATTGCCAGATGTACTTCGTACAGTCAAGCTGTACCGCTCTCTATTTTGTCTCGTGTTTTAAGAACATTGCTCTTCTGTTTGCTAATTGAAGCTGTCCTTTTGGCGGCCCTATGCTCATTGTTGATTTAAGTTTCTGTCTGATCTGATGTCTGACAAGTTCTGAATAGTCATGCTACCAACATGGTGTCCGCCCTCTTTTTCGACCGCTAAAAATTTTGTGTGTTTCGCTCATAATGAAAGACCGCTAAAAATTAATACTTTAAATTCCAACCTCAATATTGCCTTCCACTTCAGAGAAGAATGGGATAAAGCGGAAGCAGACAAAGGTACAGAGATTTCCATCTATACAGACGAATCAAAACCATATAATCGTGTAAGAGATGGTGTCTTTTCGACAAACTTACATAGACAACAGTATCGCCTGTCACCTACCACTGTCAACTGCAGTGTTTTTCAGGCAGAGATTTCTGCAAGAGAACATTCCGGGTTTGCCAAAAAAGGTTTTTACTATAAAAAAAAAATTGTACGTACACAGATAACCAAGCGGTAGTGATTGGGTAAACTAGATGGATTTAGAAAGATGATATTTCACATAAAAAATAATAATAATGGAAAAAGTGTTGTTCAATTAACTCAGTAATTTCTGACGGCATGTCGAAGATAGACACCAGTAAAGAGAAAATACGACAATTTCTACAATTATTCTTCGATAATTTGAATTGTATTTATAGTCCTGATACTGTAGCAGTCAAGGATCTCGTTCTCGTAATAGTGATATCAAACACGCGCCACGGTGTGGCAGGCCAATTGTCAAAAATTTCGACTGCACAGGATCTAAAAATTATAGAAAAAAAAACAATTTGAAATCACTTAAAAAAGGATGGATATATAAAGCAGCTCGCTGTATGGGTGCCACATGAGTGGGCGAGAAAAAATCTTATGTTCAACTGTTGAATCGTAACAAAAACGAAGGGCAATGGGCCGATAGAAGCGGCCTCCAAGCTAGAATATACGATCAGGGAGTTTTTTCTATGTTTTTGGTGATATTGGCAAGGAATTTTCCACTATGAGTTGCTTCCCTACGCCCAAACTCTTAATTCGGATCTGTGCTGCCAGCAATCGAACCGTCTAAAGAAAGCAATCGCTCAGGAGGGCCCAGTTTTGGCAAATAGTAGTAGTAATAGTGTTTCCGGAGGTCAACCCGAGGCCACACACATCAATAGTGGCATGCCAGGAGCTCCGAGAACTTGGAGATTCTTATGCATCCACCTTACAGTGCGATGCTGGTACAGCTCGATGGTAATCACCATCTGCATTTATATATGTATATATGGCGAATAATTTGGTTGGTGAAATATTGGTCTCAACAGAAGCTTCTTAAAATCGATTAAACCAATTTTTTGCCAATAAGAGCAAGAATTTCTATGAAAGAGGTATAGACATTAACTTCAAAATGCCAATTAGTTATTGTTTATTTGAAATAAATCGGTTAATTCTAACTTTTTTAAATAAAGCTTTCAATTTAATGCAAAAATAATGGATTACTTTTTACTATGTCTTTTAAATGGGTGGAATATAAAAAAAATTGTCGACCTCTACTGTTGTGTACACTGATTTCGCATAAATATTCTAATAATTCTAAATTTTATCAAGCCTCACTGTTATCCCCAAAGTAAATGTTGTTACTTCTTTTTAACACCCGAAATTGAATTTGGTATTCTGGCGAACTGGTTACAATGTTTGAAAAAAATTTGGCAGCACTGCTTTATTCGTCCATGTCAAATTACATTTGCCAATTGATAAAGTAAAAAGAAAAATATTCACATCGAAATGGATGACCTTGCACAAGAGAATCTAGAAGTTTTATTAATTTGTTCATTAAATCATAAATTTTTGAACCTAATTATGGAAAATATGCCTGGACAACAAAAAAAAACTGAATGAAAATGTTATCTTACAAATTAAAAGGCTATTTTTGGTCTTGAAAATTTCTTGGCATACGCCTTTCTGCACTTTTTTCTTCATCTTTAATGAAGTTCAGGCCTAAAATATGCCTACCCATTTTTTTTATGAAACTAACAACACAAAATCAAATAGTAGATTTTTTTGTTACCTCCTATTTCGTTGTTAACAAAATTTACAAGGTGACAGTGAACTCAGAATACGAAATTGTAACAAAATTTACTGAATGAAAAATTTTATTACCAAAGTAAATTTTGTTTCCTCAACAGAATTGTGTCCAATTTTGAAACCAAAAGTACTCATATTTTGCTAGTCGATCAATTTGTAAAAAAAAAATTTATATGAATGTTAATCTGCGATCATTGAAAATTATAAAATCATATTTTTAATTTTTAAAATAAATGTCTAGACTACTATAACTATTTTTTAAATGCTAATATATACATATGTATGCATAATATATAAACTAATACTTTTCAATATTAAATTCTTCCTAGCAATCATACCAAAATCGGATGGAAGCCGGTTATCGCATTTATGAAAAATTCAATATTCTTCTTAAAGCCGTTTACTCTAGTGGTTAAATACAAACATACAAGCAAAGCAATATATATATTTTTTTAATATTCTCATTTTAGAAAAATCAAAGAACTGTTATATAATATTTTTCATATATTAACATATATTTGTTTGTATATATGTATGTATGTATGTATTGATTTGCCAATTTTTCTCTCGTCACACATGTAAATTGTTGCAATGACATTGTTGCAGATGAATGAATGAATGAATGAATTTAACTAAATTAATGCAAACACACATGCAAAGTTGCATTTTCTTTCACTTACGAATGTTCAACAATTGTAGACATTCATAGCTACAGTTACAGTTACAGTTACGGTTACGGTTACATATGTATGTCTAAGACAACTGGTGCCGATAACCAATATTTGCAATGGAATCTCTTTTATTTTTTATATCCTTTTTTTTCTTGTATTCTTGCACCCTCCCATTGGCTTCTCTTTCCATCTTTATGCTCTTCGAATGTTTAATTAGGTTGTGTGAGCGCAAACTTTCAATTCGATTTTGATTGTCTCCAATCAATTGCGGTCAAATGACGTTGAATGGATGTGTAAATAAAAATCAGAAAAATAACCAGAGTTTAATATTTACACATACATACATACATATATGCTCAAGGCATTTAGCATTAGTTACAAAAACAAAAATTTAAACGAGAAATATATTCTCTTGCTCATTTCATTTTAATAGTGTTAATGATGATTGGAAACCAGTCTGATCTCACTATTGGTGAGGTTGTCCCAATGTGACGCATTTCTCTTCGTGGCCAACGGTGCCTCAGTGGTTTTGGGTTCTCGAAGTTGGTTTAAGAGTAATGCTTAATACTAGAACTACCATTCATTTGCTTAATTTTAAATTAAACTGCTTAAAAGAGAAAAAATCGGTCGAAATAAATGTAGCTTATCAGTATGGGCGCTTTGAGGAAATAAAAGAAAGTACCCAAAATATTGGGTTAAGAAAAAGTAATCCATTATTTTTTTTAGTAAATTTGATTTATGACAAATATCCACCGTTTTAATTCATAACTTTTTGCCATTTTGTAGATAACGTCATAAAGTCGCTCTCATAGAAACCCTTCTTTATA